CCCAAGCAGACGCCAGGCTACAGACTTGAAAACAAAGCAGTAGGAAATGGAGAGATGCCAAGACACAGCCTGTTGTGAGAGGCAGTAACAGTCTGGCACCATGGGCTGTAGGACTCTCCTATGCCGGGACAGGAAGTGATGCTGTGGAGTACAAACGCTGAAGGAGGAAGATGGCAATGGTATCCAGCGGGGAGCAGGAGTAACTGTGGGTGTGTGGGAGGGGAGGGGGGAAGGGGAGGAATGAGCAGCAGTGGTAATAAACCGCTTCCTTGGATGGCAGCGACACACAAAGGACACATGCTTCACTCTGATGACCTTTATTGAAAAAGTACAATGTCAGCAGGCCATACACGTCCACGCGTGAGCGAGTAACGAAGGAGTCTGTGACAAGATGAGGCCAGTGGCCTATCAGAGAAGCCGAACTGGTCTCCCTCTCTCCAGAACCCCATCATCCAATCAGAGGAGCCAAACCGGTCTCCCGCTCTCCAGCACCCCACCATCCAATCAGTGGAGCCGAACCGGTCTCCCTCTCCCCATCACCCCATCACCCAATCAGAGGAGCCGAACTGTCCTCCCATTCTCTGGCATGCCATATCAGAGTGTAAAAAAAATACCTTCTTTATTCTTTCAGAGATAATAATGTGTTATTTTCACTTAATATAAGTTACAGAAGTTTTTAAAGGCAGAACCCTGACAAACAAACAATGGGGTTAGTATGTTAGTCTGTAGCTGATTTCATTTCATTCATTGCTGATGGAGACATGGAGACAAGTGGACAGAGCAGCCTAAGAAACGCACATGAAGGGGAATAAATGATGGAGGATAGAGGGATGAGGCTGTGAATAACGGGCGGCTATGGAGACCCGGAGGCCCGGGCCTTTTCAGTATGATTAAGAGGGCAGAAGGAGAGAGAGAGAGAGAGAGAGAGAGAGAGAAGGAGTGCTCTAGGAGAGCGTGTGTGTGAATTACGGCCATACGGGCAGTGCTGAAGCCTCTCCTGAAGATGAACTGTGTAAGATGCCAAATGTGAGATTTTATGTGATTCTATTCCTGTGTAGGAAAAAACCTAGAAATTAACTTTCTGGAAGGCGATAGTGCAAAATGAAATACCTTCCCGCCTTGGCAGCCGAGTTTGGACAGCGGACGCGTGCCACATCATTTCAAAGGCCCCAAACGACGGCGCCCCCTTTCAGTGCGTTGCTATGTTACAGGGACCTTGGCGCTAAATCGCCCCGCACTGGCGCTCCATCAGAACCGACGGCAAATGAGCTCCTGGCACCAAGTGCTCCCCCCATAAAAGCTCCATGGTGTATGGTGGTGGCAGAAGGGAAAGGAGGTATACTGCACAGGACAGGGAATGTGTGACGGCCGGCAAGCGTCTTTATTTTTAGAGCAGGTGTTCAGATTCCGCCGGCCACCGGGACCCAGTTGGCTGGCAGGTACACATCTGTCACCTCTGGCACATGCGGCCATGATCCAGTTACTCGTGGATTTGTGGGAAGGTGCCGGAAAAAGGGGGCGGGGAAGCGGACTTCAGCTGTCCCTTTCTCGGAGAGTTCTCGGTCGGGGCTGGCGAGGTAAGACCGGAAGAACCCCGCCAGAACCCGAGAATTCTCCTGTCCAGACGTATCTCTCTCCCGCTCACTCGAGGCAGGACGCCACGGTCCAACTTGTTAATCTTAGAGAGGAACCCACCCAGAGACACCAGAGCCTCCTTATTCTCCAATGGGACATCTGACTCTTGACATTTGAATTGCTCGCCCTAAATAATTGAACCTATAGAGGTCTGGCGGGAGTTTATAAATATTCAGGAGAGCTGAGAGCGATACTTCTAAGCATAATTGCAGCCGATGTGTGAGGAATGGTGTGTACAAAACACACAACATCGAGTTACAGCAGAAACGTTTAGGGTAGCCGACTTCATTCTGCCCGGGGACTCGAGTAGATGCCACTTTCCTAATTCTGTCAATTAAATCTTTTGAAGAATCGTGTTTTTTGTTTTTTTTTTATCAAAAATGTTCAACTTCAGTGCAGCTTTTTCCTTCTTTGAGGGAGAATGGGGATCTCTAATCCGCTAATTTCACAGCAAACAGTACAAAGGCGGGAATATTCTGTACGGCGTTCTTTCGGAACACCAGACATCTGTGTTTGTGGCAGAGAACCACAGTATTCCCCCAGACAGTGCAAACATTAAATTAATATACATCACCCCAGAGAGTGCCCCCTTACATGTCACAGTAACCGGTTACAGCACTTTGCATGTTCCAGGGTCTGTCAGGATGTCTTACCGCCCAGATGGGCTGAATCACTTTACATTCATTCCTACAACACTGCGTGCATTCCTACGAACCCATGAGAGGGTTTTCACAGGCACCGAAAGCCCCCCCACCGTGCTGTTCACAGAATAAAGGGCAGATGTCAGGACCCCTGGTCCCCAAGTCTGGACAGCCAGCAGCTCCTGAGACCGCATACGTAGGGCTGTGAGGTGGTATCCATGGAGACGTGGCTCAGAACATCAGATCCTTGCCTCAGGACCACCATACCTCCCGAACACAGCTAATTTCCTCTTCCCATCATCGTTTGGTATTTATATCTGCGGTTCCAGAACAGATTAACACTTTGTACATGTCATTAGCACTCAAAGCACTGACCCGCATGCCAATGTCCCAATGGAGGCACTGATGGGGATGGAGAGGCAATGTAGGATACTCCAGATCAAAGGCTCAGACCCTGTAAGGCCAAGACCTTTGGGACTCAACCAGAAACTGAGGTTTGCAAAACTATGTACAGAATCAGTCAAACCTCAGGGCCTGCAGGTGGGGGAGGGTGGTTGATTAGGTGAGGGACTTGCACGGTGTGCAGAAGTTCTGCACTTGACTGAGTTTCATCACACCTCAAAACTTAAAGACCTAAAAACAAATTCTGCGGAACAAACAAATGAGTTTACGCCACGCAGGACTGACTCCACCACTCAGTGCTTGACCTGTCAAGGCATTATTGCTGAATAATTACATCCTGTAAGGCTTTTGGTGCTGTCTGTGGAACAAGAGTCAACCTGGTGATGTGGAGTCACCCAGCACTCCTTTTCTCCACCCTGCTGCTCACATATCACAACTCCTTTTGCTTTACAGTAGATTTTACTGTGGTTGGTGTTATTTTTTTCTTATCCAGTTTGGAAACACCCCCAGACACCACAGAAAATGCAGTGTTATGCCGTGTGATGACCCTATCCCAGTTAGATGAGAAGCAGTAATGTTCTAAGTGACTATAATACATGGCTGATCTATCCTAATTGACCCAAGTATGAGTCTGACATCCTCCAAGACTCAAATACCTTCAATACCGTCAACAGTCTGCTCGCTACTATGGCAGAAAACCTCAACAACGAGAGGAGTGCTTCTTCACGCCTCTGAAGATTGTTTATTGATTGGTGAGGACACCCCCAGTCCACGCCAACTTCCCCGCTCCACACTAGAACAGACCGGGGAACATCAAGGCCGACTCAGTGGCCAGTTCCATTGAGATGGTGAGACAGCATGGCGTGGCCCCCCCCCCACCTCCTGGCCTGGGGGTGTCACACATGCAGGCCGGCCTTCTTGAGGTCCCCGTTGCCCTGCACGTTGGCGCGATACACCTGGCGAAGACGCTCCTCAGCCTCGCGATCCAGCTTCTCACTGCGTAGCTTGCTGTAGCGCTCGTACAGCACCATGAACACGCCCATGACCCAGGCCACCACCGTGCCCGTCGAGAAGATGACAAAGCCGATGGCGATGAAGAAGAGGTAGTCCCAGTAGCCGAGGGTCTGATGGCAGTCCGTCCGCAGCTGCATGCCGACATCTGAGAGGCGCTGTCCCATCATGTCCGGGGGATCCTGGCACACGATCTGCCCTTCATCTGACACATGGGGGGGAGGAGGGGGAGAAGTGACGTCATGACCATGGATGCCTTGGGAGCCAATCACATCGCGGCTTCTTAGCAGGGCACCGTCGGGCTTGCCTCGAGCAAAATTAGGACAGAATGGCTTCCCCTAATGTCTGCACCTGCTTCTAAGCTGGTGATAATCGACTCGTTTATGGCCAAAATGAAGATTAATCGCGAGTGAGTCACAGTGTTGAGGGAGGCACAACAGTACACACTCACACACACTCACATGCACGTTCACACACACACTCGGACGCGGGCAGATCCATTTCCCGCTCCCTTTGATTGTGTTACCGGCTGGAATGGCGTTCAGGGTTTGTGGGAGCAGAGTTCCCCATAACGTAACGTCACACCTGCCGGAGTGTCTGGCGCTCATCGCGTTTCTGCCCCTGGTTTGGCCCCTCGACCCAACCCCCCCCACCCCACCCCGGCTGGGTTCTCAGCCAAGTTCATTACTCAGCGCCTCTCTCTGGCTGGTGCCGTGTTTCAGGCCAGGACCCCATGGCCCGTCCCAGGTGCCCTACGGAGAACACATCACCTCGCTTAGCCTCACCAGCAGACCCCCCCCCCACCCCAGTGCCTTTTCTGTAATGGAGACGATAAATAACACTAACAGAGCTGCTCCTTTGCAAATTAACTGAAACGTCCAAATGAAATAGGTAAAAGTGCCCAGAAAAATCCCTGCAGGAACCTTGCTGACTTCACCTCCGGCCTCGCAGTGGCACTGCTCATACTAATCTGCTAAGTGAGTTTGTCAAGGGCCCTTTTTAGAACACAGGGCCTTAAATCCTTCATGCCTTTGCTTTCACGCTGGGGCTGCTGCACCCAGATCACTGCAAAGCCTGTGCAGCCCATGCAGAACTTTTCGGAATAATAATTTGGTCCATAAGGGCCATGGAGGAGATGCCGCAACAGTACAATAAATGATTAATCATGGGTGTGTCTTTTGCTTTCTTTTTGAAAAGATGAGGCTAACAATCGTTACTATTACTGCAAAGGCCTAAAAGATTATTTAACCATCTAGGTTTAAAGAGGCATAGGTTTCTGAAAATAGCCCTTAGATTGGTGTTTACAGCTCGAGCTCCGGGTCACCTCCGATGTTTACACGTGTCCAGAAATTGTCCCGGCAGCTGGCTGGCCAGCCGTGGCTTGGCGTTTCCCCCCCCCCCGGGCGCATTAGCCCTCGCCATGGATGCCCTGCATCAGCCCGTCTGCATCTGGGAACTAGTGTGGAACCAGCGTCCCTTAATGAAGCAGCTTGGGCTGTGTCAACCACCACATCACCTTGCCCTTTTCTTCAGCTCGCTCCACAAAAACAAAAGGGCCAAAAAAGTTCCGGAACACCAGGCATCTTTTTTGAGAAACCAGGATCAGATAGTCCCCGGAACAAGTGGAGGTTAAGGGCCTGACAGTGAACTCACCCTGCTGAGCACAGGACTTGAACTAGCATTCTAAGCATTCTAACCCGCTGAGCCAAAACGCACCCTGAGCTTTCTGAGTGCCTGGGTGGTGAGTTTTAATGTGTCTTTTGAATGTGCGTAGCGCCCTTATCATACCTCAAAAAGGAGACCAATCAATTGGTTTTGTTTTGTTATGAGCCTGGTGGACGGATCCAGCGGTTTACAGCGCAACTGATTCCTTTGCCACAGATTTGAATTTGCAGTCCTTTTAAAGTCCTTTTGCAGATCTGAAATCCATCCAAAGTAATTACATTTACTCAATCGATATACTTTTACTTGCATTTCATAAGTCTGCCTATGAGTCAACGTGCTGGACCTCAAGTTTGAAACGCCTGAATCTAGAATAACAATAGTTCTGTGTGGCTCCTTTAATTTAAGTTAAAAACGCTAATCTGCACTTGGGGCTGCGCCGGAGACAGAGAAAATCGCTAAATTCAAAACTAATTTTGAGAGCAAAGTTTACATCTATCAACCTTCTCAACCCCAACCGGTAAGACTTATATAATTAAACAGCTTGTTCCTTATACATCTCTCACTGCCACTGCAGTGAACTGAGTTCTTTTGTAATACAAATAGGCTATTTTTGATTTGTAAAAAGACTTTGATTTAGTTCACCTTCAGCTTCACAAATGAGTCATAGTACAATGTAATATATGTATGACATAAGCGGACATATTTCCTCAGTTACTCAGATTTATGTTTGAGTGCTTTAGTGCTGGTGGGGTTTTTTATGCACCCTGGTCGATTCGCCTTGATTGCACCCTGAAACACCGACAGATCATAGGATTCCTCCTCAATATTCTCACAAAACCTCGATATGTTTCTCAGACAACTTCTCAGTTTTGCTAATCAGACAGTAGAAAACAGAGAGGAGTCTGAAGCCTTTGTTTTCAACACGCCGTCTCCCAGGGCAAGATCAAAGCAGGTCATCTGTCCTGCTGTTGCCTTGCTTAATGCAAGATGGTTTCCACGTATTACTACGGGTACAAGGTTCCCTTCCTCTCTGTATTATATATACAGTGTGTGTGTGTGTGCGTGCCTGTGTGTCTCACTGTGTTTTCCATGCAGCCAAATATAGGCTATAGAACCTCTACTGCTGGCATTGCCAAACTGCATCATAAACATTAGCATAACCTTTCCTTAGCATTAATTTCTGTATGCATTTTTATTTACTCAGTATGCTGCACCTGCAGTGTTGGGGATTTGAATCCTGCCTCCTCTGTTTTAGCAGGTTTCCTCCAGGTACTCCGGTTTCCCCCCACAGTCCAACGGCAAACGCTAATTGGCATCTCTAAATCACCCCAAATTTGAGCATAAATGTGCCCTTCAGTTGAATGCCATGTACCCTTGCTTTGTGTCCTGAGCTGCCTGGGACAACCCCCACCTGGGAAAAGCAATTGGCAAATATATCTTTTGTTTTTTTCCCTAGAAACTACCTGAATAGTCTGTCGAAAACAGTGCTTCTTGAAGAATGCACTGGGTTAGAAAAACAGACTGATTCACAGAAACTGGTGAAGGAGTGTACAAGTCATATAGGTGAGCTCAAAGCTCATGCTACACGGCTAATGCTACATAGCTAATGCTACATGGGCTAATGCTACATGGGCTAATGCTACATGGCTAACGCTCTTCGTCAGGAAGGGGCTTGTGGAACCACGGCACTCTGCCATGACATCTGCAGCTCCCCCAGGTTCCTCCTTCTCTGAACCTCATGCCGGATGCATTTGTTAAAGCGTTTCAGTATGACCCATGATATTTCCCACCACAGGAACTAGTCTCAATTATACTTCCTGGGATGTAGTTCCTGAACGTCTTTTTCTAATCCCTACACCACAGCACTTTTCGTTTGACCAGGAACTACTGAGGTGGGGCTTATAGCAAAGAACTTTGTTGATTGGTTGATGCCAACTTGGAAGTTATGTAAAAGTGCTGGAAAAAGAGGCAAAAAAGTGAAGCAAAAATGGGGCAGATACAATTATTTTTGTATATCAACTACATTAAATGCATTAACCCTTTCTGCTTGCTTCTCCATGTTTCTGCATCAGAAAATTTGATATCCGCGTAAAATTTGGCATAAAAGTGCTCTGGCTTTCCTGCAGTTTTTTTTTATATAGTGGTGCACCAATATGGAAATTTTAATTTTGATAACTGAAATGTTTTTGTCTAATATTGCCAGAGGTGGGGGCGAAACCTGCTGGTTCTAATTAACCGATTAACATTACATCTTTTTTTATTCTAAAAAATAAAAGATTGATCTACTTGTCAGATTTCATAAAAAATAATTTTATGAATAAAACATAAATAAAACGCTGTGTCCCGTTTTGAACCAATACAGGATGCAATTAGTCCCATATTTTTGGACCATGAGATGAACCCCCCACCCCCAATTACTGACAAAACAACTTGTTTATCCTCCATTGTTTTGGGGTGGCAATGTAGTTTTGTCCAGCATGAAATCCCGTGTTACGCATAACCTACAAACTTTTTGCATCCCCCATGCTTATATAGCATAAAGATGACATTTCATGTTGTGTGATGGGAAAACAACTGATGAAAGTGGCCAGGAACTCGGAACCAGGACCCAGGTTCCGGAACTTTAGCGGGGAAGCGCCACAGCATTCTGAGGAAATCACACAACATTCTTAATTTTTATGATACCACTGAGGGAAAGATGTGTCTCAGAGTTAAAGCTGCCATCACCATCAGGTCTAGTGCAAACACATGTCTGGGAGCACTGCGTTTCAATGCCAGGAAGGAGTGATGTCACTGTTTGGTTCTTGAGCAAGGCCCTTAACCCCAAATTGCTCCTGGAACTGTCTGACCCAGCTTTCTCAAGAATGTACATCGCTTTGGATGAAAGCATGTAGTAATTATATTAAATGTTAATGTCTGTCCTTAAGTTTACTCTGTCATCTATTCTCTAGGACAGCCAATCATAAATGACCAAAGAGTTCACTTATATTCTCAATTTATGAGCGCCCAAAGGTGAAGGGGGTAGGAGCAGAAAGCAATTTTGTGTATCACCCTTCCATTTGCAAGTCCGCTTTCTCCCGAGGTCCCGCTGACGGAGACGTCGTGGGTCCGTGCGTTAATCACAGGCTGCGTATACGCAAAGCCAAAGAGATTAGCTTCCTGCTAAAAAAAGAGTTAAGAAAAACTACTTTTAATATATGTGAGATGTGTCATTGAGGAGAGGATCCCTAATTACAGCAGAACGTGGAAACGTCGTTCACAGCTGCATATGTCCTTGTGTTCCTCACCTAAAACCATTATAACAAGATTACTAATTTCTTTTAAAAAAAATCCCCCAATCACCTTCCTCCCATCCCGGGCGTGAAAGGTGATGAAGGTCATCGCAGAAGTAATCTGCATACTCCCGTCAGCTACAACTCATCCTCTCTGGGGAGGGGTATCTCCATCTACCATAAGTCATCTTGCATTAAGAGGTGGGTATGTCTGCTGTATCGACTTTTTACTGTCCTACGAAACACCCAACCTTATAGCTTTGTCTGAAAGAAAATTCCTGCACTACATACAACATCCTTGCTTTCTCTCTCTCTCTCTCTGCTTCTCTCTCCCTCTTTTCCTCACTCTCTTCCAATGTTTACTCTTCTTCTCCTTCTACACACTCTCTGCGGGGTGACCATCACAGCCAAAGAGTGACCCAGGAAATCGGTTTGATCTGCACGGACCGCAAATGTCACCCTAATCTTAGAAGTCACCGATAACTTTCTAAATATAGTATTTCCCATGATTAGACAGCAATTACAAACTGCAGACAAAAATATTGTAATGGATAATTAGTATTGTGGAGCAGTTTGAAATCAAATAATGTTCCCATGATAATTTATATTTCATTCTCTCCAGGGAAACCGTGTTATAACAAATTAGTGTTATAAGGGGGAGAGCTAAATGAGGAGTGTGTGTTGTCCAATTTTAGTAGTGTAATTACCAGAGGGGAAAATGAAACAAGTAGGCTTCCTTCAAATTGGCTAGCAAAATTATGCAGATTAATTTCCATCCATCCATCTTCCGGTTGCTTATCTGCAGGGTCACGGAGAGGCTGGAAGCCCCTCCCACGCAGTAGAGGCATCGTCAGCATATTTTATTAATTTTGACATTTACACGCATGGTCTAAGAAGGTTTTCGGATCCTTCTCAATACCCCATTCGTCTGACTACAACAGCCCAGAGAAGGAATTCTCCGAAATGTCACAGTTCACGGCCCGATCTAATGACATAAAAGGTGTCCTATTGGTGGAAAGAGGCCAGTTTTCCATATTTCAGGACATGGTTTGCACTACTTTCCTAAAACATAAACCACATCCGGTTTAAATCTCAACATATCAAATTAATCCGCAATTTTATTGCTAGTAGGCCAACTAACTGCATTATCGTTATGTTTAAAGAAACTACACTGTTCAGCTACCTTTGAAAAGTTGAAAGGCATGGTGAATATCCCAGTCAATGAAGCAAAACTACGAGATTTTCGTGCATACGTCTAGACTCTAGAGACTGCACATCTCTCATGATTACTTACTTCGGGGCTGGAGAGGTCCACCTGAGCACGGTGGCAGTCCGGGAGCCCCTGACTGATATATGCGTTTTACATACGCTGAAAAGTAAGTACTCAAAACTGACTTGAGCTGAGCGCGGCAGACGTACAGCGGCCGTCCACACTTCCGAAAGTATCGTACTTCCGCAGATTACTTTTGAGGTCACGTTCACCCATATACTATTTATATTAGCCGCTGAATCTCTAGGGACGTAGTGCCAAAGAGCGGCTGTCTTGCTTTTCACTTACGCGAGTGAATCTAGCGAGTCACGCCGAGCCCCAGGCAGAAGTTTAGTTACGAGCGCATTTTCAGGACAGTCTTGGTCCACGTGTGCGTCGTCAAGGTCACCGACAGAGGAGGACTTGGAAAATTCTTTAAAGGAACGTCAGATTTAGTGCTGTTTTTGTTTGCATCCAAATTTTGGATTTATAAACTCATGTGTTATCTGTTTTACGTCACCTATAGAAAAAGCCAAATGTCACAAAAAAAAACCATTGCATTCTTTACACTCTTACAATCTTAGCGCATCTTCATCTGTACTGAGACAATACTTTGGTTTCCTTTACATCTGGACTTAAAAAGTGAATTTACCGGGAAGTTATATTTGACCAATACTAAAGAAAGGGAATGACGGAGAAGAGGCGGCCAGGCTCACCTTGAAACTTGAATCCCTCGATCTGCACCCAGAGACACAGGTCCTCGGTGTCGCAGTCGCATCGCCAAGGGTTCCCGCTGATGCCCAGCGATCGCAGCGCCGGCAAGGCTATGAGGGTGGTGATATTCAGCGCTGTCAGGTTGTTCCTGCTGATGTCCAGTACTTGCAGGGCCAAGTTCTCGGCGAAGGCGTCCGGGTGGATCTCAGACAGAGTTGGGTTGTCCGTCATCCTCAGCATCACCAGGCTGGCCAAGGGTCCGAACGTCCGGTCGTCTATGTTAATTAAGATGTTGAAAGACAGGTCCAGATAGGCGAGCTTCCGCAGGTTCCCGAAGGTGGACTCCGTGATGTCTGTGAGGGAGTTGTTGCTGCAGTCCAGGTACACCAGGTCGGACAGGTAGTTGAGCTGTAGCGCCGGTAGTTCCCCTATACGGTTGTTGGAGATAATGAGCTGCCGGGTGGCCAGCGGAAGATCGGTAGGAAAGTCGGTCAGCTGCTGCCCGACGCACTGGACCACCAGCTGGTCGTCGCACATGCAGCGGCCGGGACAGCCGGCCGTGAGCGCGGGTGATGGTGCCACCCCCATTACAAATATCAGTAAAAAGATGAGCCGTAAAGACTGCGCGCTGGGCTCGGGGAGAAGACGCATGATACCACCGAGGGCTTCATGAACTCTTTCTGGATCGTACCCCCAAGCACCTCCACATTCTTCATTGATCTGTATTGCTGAGGTCCACTCTGTGATTTTTGTTCACTGATGCCGACGCCAACATCTCATTCCTTCCACACGCGCAGGGTGCCAGGGCACTAAAAGACAAATATGTTTCTGTTATTGCAAATCCCACTTAATAAAAGCTTTTAATTGCAATGGATTTTTGCTTATCATCATCCAGGTATTCGGTTTGCTTCGTTTAGTTTTGGTGGTAAGACTTGTGAAAGACTTGTTTATTTTGTTCCGAAAAATTCAGAGTAGGATCCATTGGTGCGGTTCTCTTGGTTCTGGCAGCACTCAGACTAAAGCTGCGTCCTGATTGAGCTGCGAATTTCCTTTTGGTCAAAGCGAGTGTTAAGCAGTTGGTTTTATTATGGTCTGTCTGATGCTCGCCGCTCCGCTTACGCTCCCTGTACCGCTATGTGCACGCCGGTAAAAACGAAAGGAGACTTTGCCCTCTCCCTCTCTCTCTCTTTCACCCTCCCTCTCTGTCTCTTTCTCTCTCTCTCTTGCTCTTTGTGTATGACCGTTACGTGAATGAGGGACAGCAAGAGGACAGCAGACGATCAGCACGGTGAGCCGTGTGACCTCCCTGGCACCCAAGTCCACCGCCCTGTGTCGTGTCGTGACGTCACCAAAATCTGAAAACCCCTTTAGAAAACGCAAAAAACCTTTTAGGAACAAAAAAAATCATTAAGAAATGTAAAGACCCTTAGAAAATGCAAAGACCGTAGATGTAAAGGAAATGCAAAATTCTTTAGGGAACGCAAAAACCATTAAGAAACGTCAGTGAAGTCTATAAAGAACGACTGATTATTCCAGACACATGTCAGGGGAGTTTCTCCAGACGTTCGTGGGCGTCGCAAAAACGAAGCGCCTGTCTGTTCTAAGGTAGGACGGTAGGGCTTCTTGCCCTCTGCCAGCGCCCGTGGTCGTGGGTTTACTGCATGTGGCTTACCGGCGCTTCTCCACTTCTCGGTCATTCAATTACCTTATACAAGGGGATGGGCTCATTTGGGTCATACAAATTATTTAAAGTCAAAATGTAATGGCTATTTGACATGCCGTGATTCCCCCGCTGACTCTAAATAACACACGATGGCTAATAAGGACGCACGGACAAACTTATTTTCAGTATACTGAACGGCCAGTTAGAATAACATGAATTAAGCTTAAAGCTATTAAATATTAAGTGTTTTCCGTGTAATCGCTGCACATTACTCTTCAGATTCTCCACCGAACAAAATGTTATGTTTTTTTAATAGTTACACCTACAGTGCACATTAATGAAATTAACTCCTTCCCACCCACGATATATGCTTTCCAGGTTTGCAATGATTCAGCCACAGTCAAGTAGCAAAACTATAGCGCTTACTAAAGGAAAATCATGCATTTAACGGGGTATTTTACGGATGCGGGTCGGACTGAACTATTGCATTTCCCAAGTCTTATTTATGTAAAATTGACTTCGTTGCGATATTTGTTTTATAAAAATGAGTGCATCCATCTTCTATCCGCTTATCCCGGCAGGGAAGGTGATATCCCGAGCATCGTGGGGGACACTGCATGCAGGGCTGCACCCTGGATGGGATGCCAGTCCATCGCGAGGCACAGACACGCACACAGTCATATATTCTGTGCTATTTAGAGACCATAAACATCCGAACAGGAGTCCCCGCAGGAAACACGCGCGTTATGGGGAGACCGTGCAAATTATGACGCGAGGCTCGAACCGCAACCCTGGAGTTTGCCAGTGTTTAGACTTTTGCAAAATTTGGCTATGAGGAAAAGGTTAAAGAAATTACCCAAAGGAATGTTTGTTACCAAAACGCCATTTCAGAATATTAAAAATAAAAAAGCAGGGGTTCGAAAGTTTTATCAAGAACGGCGTCATTATATACTAAGAATTTCTATTTATATGTAATTAATTCTGTTTTATTTATGAAAAAGTCGTACCTCTAAAATATGCTGGCAACCTATTAAGGCCTAAACTCTAGAAAAAGTAGGGCATCGAGTAAGCCCTGGCCGTTTTAATACAAGCTGGTCTGGATCTCACCTTCCATTATTCGGACAGTCGGTGAGGTTTAATAATATGAACGTGTGATATATACAATCCCGTCATTATTGTATCGAAATAAATGATCCGCTGTTTATTTGTTGTGGTGTAAAAAGAAAAGTTTTTATATGCAAATTTATTATTTCTCCAAACACACGGATGTTGCAGATTGAGATAATTAGTGTAACTTTCCTCCCTGGACGTTCCCCGACGTCTCTCCTTTCAGGCTGGCATGTATCTACTTTGGTTCTTTACTATTTAATGCCCGTATCGCCTGCCTGGAAGGTGGAGTCCAGGCCTGGCACGAAGCCTCAGGCAACTCGGCTGTCTGCAGTTCACTCGGTTATAACCGATCTCCCGCGACGGCTGGGTTCTTGGAGTGAAATATGTATGATATTGTAAGTCCTTACGGTACGGCTGTTGGTAAACAGCAGTAGCCTACTGCCACTATTAATACCCCCCCCCCCCTCTTGCTTCAAAACGTTGTTTCATGCGAAACAGAAATATTGTAGGCCTAATGCTTTTTCTCACCTTCATGTATGTCATTTTCATACCGTTAATTATCAAGTACCTTAAATTTGGCATCTGCCCTATCTGGAGGATGAAGTGATTTACAAGATCTCCTCCCCTCATACTACACAAAGCTCAGAACAGAAGCCACTTAAGCAAACTGTGAATCTGTCTGTAGGGGTTCATGGCCAACATAAACACATCTAAATTTCTTCCAGAGTTTACGAAGTACATGTCCCGTTAGTGAACTTCTTGGTTATGTTACTGAACTCCGACTGCTAGCCTATTTTATGGTTTCACCAGAAAGATAAAAATAAATCAACTTTATTACTTTGATCTGCATTATTTTAATTTAGAAATGTATTTTTAATGTTTTTTCCACTTTGACCTATTTATCAGAGCAGATACACTGAGGTAATTTAGGTTAAGCACCTTGCTAGCTAGATATAACGGAAAGTTTTGCAATTCTCTGGGGATCTGAACCTTGAGCAATGGCATGCACCAAATTACTTATGAACTGTATTTTGAATGCTTTTGTTGCAAACAAAATGCTTAATAGTTCACTGTGATTTACTGCCACTGTTTTAATGCACCTGATGTGTTGAAGTGTGACTATTTAATTTCACTGATTTCATCTTCAGCACTTTTACAGATGTAGAAGGTTGGATTTTTCTTCCTTAAGAAATTCAGGCCAAGTATGATTTTTCAGTGGCACAAAAGCAGAGCAGTCCTGCGACCAGTGCCGGTCAAAACCCATGTGCCATCCTAGGTGAGCTCCACGGCTGGCGCCACCTATCTGACACTAAGTGAAACTGACTCACTAAGTCAGCACCCCATCTTGGGTGCTTAATGGGTTGACTGGTAGTGAGTCTGAAAAGTATCATGAAACCAGCTTGTTCATAGGTATGTTTTTATACGTCCCATAATGCTTGATGCCTGTTTCTCTCGTGATGCCCGAGGACATGGATGAGTGGGAATAGAGCGCGGGTGGGTCAGAAAGAGGCTTGCGGAGAGGTCATGCAGGCCACCTTCTGGTGCTGGGATCTGTTTGGTCACGCAGGCCACCTTCTGGTGCTGGGATCTGTTTGGTCACGCAGGCCACCTTCTGGTGCTGGGATCTGTTTGGACATGTTTACTACTTTCCAGACAGCTTGGAATCTCAGGAGATGGCCACAGGAATACGGAAAGGAATGCAATCTTCTCACTAACGCGTGATGGTTCATCGGGATCTTCTACACAGACCCAAGATTCCTGGAGCAGATGCACCACGCACATGGGGTAGGGTGCGGAGGAACACCAGCCTAAGAGCCATGGAAACATACCTGTTCTCCTCCTATCTTATAGGACAGGGTTTGTCAATCCAGTCCTCCATGCTCCCTCTCAGACAGTCCACATTTTTGCTCCCTATCAGCAGCTGGGAGGGAGCAAAAACATGGACTGTCTGTAGGTCCCCAAGGACTGAATTAGGAAACACTGTTATAGGACAATAAACGCATTACCGGTCGAAGCCCATGTGGCTTCCTAAGCAAGATTCACGGGCAGGAAACCCCGCCTGAGACTAATTGAAATTGTCTTGCTAAATCGGCGGCCCCACAGAAGATACGTCACCTGATGGATAGACTGGCACTGAATGAGTATGTACCTGGTGAGGTTTTAGGAGCAGGAAGTGTCCTGGTGTTGGTACTGAATCAGAGGTGTCCAGCAGGGGGAGTCACCGATTCACAGGTTACAGGATCCTCGTCCTACTCAGTGTGTCTACCTCCCCAGCCCCACAAATGAGCTTGGCCCAAAAAAGGAGTGTTTGTCAGGTCTGCTCTGCTTCTGGGCTGGCAGAGGAGCTCCCTGGGGTGTCCTAGCTCTCAGTCACCTACACCCTTCTCTGTGTCGGCCCACGGAGGAGAAGGGCTGCACAGCGGCACCTCTGGCTTGGACCTTCTCGTTATGCTCTGTGGCAGTGGGGGGTGGGGTTGCCCTGGAAGATGGCCATCTGACTGCGACACCAGGGGCAGTACTGGGATATGATCCACCAGGATGAGGCCAGAGAGAGCCGGTGCTCAAGGCAGGTCAGGCAGAGGAGGTGGTCACTAGCCAGATCTCATCCTCATGCAGGAGCCGTATGGGGGAGAGGGCACCCCTCCTGTCTGACCTGAACTGAGCTCAGCATCGCCCTCTGGTGGCTCACTGCGTTGCTGCGCACGGTGTCAAGACCCCAGGACAGGTGGCGACACATGGGCCATTGGAGCCGACCTCCCAGTGCCTGGCTGGGATGGTGTAGACAGGACCAGCAGAAGGCATGCCCACAGGGCAGGCCGTGACACCATCTGCAGGAACACAGGGAGCCTCTGGAGGGCGATAGGTCTGTGGACAGGAAAACTCACTGTCGCACACAAGACAGGCTGGGGAGTCTTCTGTGCTCTCCATGATGTGTATGATGTAACAAACATTCCATGTTAACCTTTCACGGGCTTATGGACCTATGAGGCCAGGGACAGGATTTTCATTTCCCCAGATTCAACACTTCTCTTAAAGACTCTCTTTCCAGGGACTCAATGGGTTTAGCAGAGAGAAGTTCAGTACATGCGGGTGATGGTCTTCCTTGGTAATCTGGTCAATGTTTCATGGTTGCCGGCAGAAATATTTAAACAGTAAGTGGGATATCACCAACAGCAGGGCCAACTGGGGTCCATCACTTATCATTTCCTCAGAAGTCTGCTGTCCACGACGGGTTCTGGATGCTCAGCACCGAGCGGCATTCTGGGCTCTGACACTCCTCGGTGCACCAGAATGACTCAGAAGACACAAGATTCCTCAGCCCGGCTCCAGCACTCAAAGCTGGCCCTCGGTACAGGGAAAGACCGTCCGTACGACAATGAGACAACCTCATAGCTCCTGGATGGTTCCTGGACCCGTTAATGGCAACAAGCGCCACACCAAGTAACTGCCAGCACCTCAGCGAGACAATTCATTTGTATTTATTAAAAAGGAAAAGTGTGAGAGACAGAGATGCTTGTGGACAGGCTGCGTGCAGAGGAGAGGTGTGTGTGTGTGTGTGTGTGTGGCTATCACTGTAGTTCTGTTGGACCAATACCAAGTCAGCTGGGTCCAACCAGGAGAATAGGATGTTCCATTTGATCCAAATTACATGATAGGGCTATTAAAAAAAAAAAAAGAATTAAATAACCTACGCAAGTTATTGCCAGAATGATCTTAATTAAGAGAAGGTTGGAGGGTCTGAGTATGGTTAAACCATACATCCTGTTTCATGAGGCATCCTAAATTTCTCTAATCTCTATAAATGGAAGATAAAATATCTGCAATTACACTAATTTATAGTAAGACAACATTCATTTTCATCAGTGTCTGTACTAAAAAATAAACTCTAATAATAATAATAATTAATAACAAACCCAGACTATACCAGTCATAAAAAAGAGGCAAATGACTGAAAACAGCCTGTCATGCTTAGATGCTACTTTACAGGAGTAGTAGTCGAGAAGGTGTTGAAGTGCAGTAATTTAGCTCAAACTTATAGCTTGAGATGCACTGCCATCTACTGGACAAAAGTAAAACCACATTAAAGTCATTTCTCCTTTTTCTACCCCCCAGCTAAAAGTATAGATTAAATTGCTTTACAGAATGCTTAAAAACTGCTGCCACCCGTCAAATGTTATGTTTGATCAACGCACACTGAATCACATGCCTGTTTCTGTATTTAAAGAAAAAGATGATCAGATTTTAAAACTAATCCCACACCACAGAAGTTGGATTATTTGCTCTAGGTGGCTTGTTTTTACGCAAGTTCTCTCTCCATCACGTCGGCTATATCACAAGCTCAGCCACACGACCACTGCAGGTAGGAAACTAACCTCAAAATGCTAAAGATGATGACCTGGCTCAATACTTCTAATTAAAATTACAGCTAATTTACCTATGCAATGCGTGGCATTTTGATGCTGCTCTTGCTCATGTAAGCCACACGAAGGATAGTAATTTTAGAATTCCTTTTTTTCCCAAGGTCGGTTTATTTGTTTATTCCCCTTTTGGACAGAAGCCCTTGGCGGCACAGAAAGGAGGCCAAAGCGAATGGCAAAGCATGACAGATAATTAAGCAAAGCAGAAAGGACATATGATCCAGCAATAATGCTCTTTTGAACACGCATCATATTAATTATCCAAGGATAAACACATAACTTAAATATTACATCAAGCCACAATGCAGCAGAGCGACTGTGCAAGACTCATGCACTGATCACAGCACAGAAAAGATCTCCACCAACCTGCAGGATCCACCCTCCTGGCCTCCAGTAAGTTTCCATGACAAAATGAAGTGTTGGTCTATCCGTCACACCGCAGTGGGCACAGCCACCCTCCCGCTCGCTGACACCGTGTTCCTCGACAGTTAAAGTGACAGCTTATTAGAGAAATGGATCTCCATTGCCTGCCCACCCGACCGCCAGCCAGGGTCCATCCCACTTGCATCCATCTCGCTTCCTGGATTCACGCTGCACCCAGAACGATTTCACCCATTTTAAGGGCCACAGAGACGATTCCGGCACTTTTTACTCTTTGTTAGGTTAAAGGCTCGTCAGACAGTGTTCACTCGAGAAAAGTCGTCGGAATTGCACCGCTGATGTACTCCGTCCTCGTTTAAAGTTTTTACACAAAGAAAGAACTTTAGTTTTACACTTTTATGTCAATCACACAAATGGCGGTGTCCACCTGAATGGATTCCTACCTATGCAATGCGTGGCTTTCAAAGTTTGCAAAAACAAACCGAAGAAACTGGACAGATCCCTTATAAAAATGGAGAAGCTAATGAAAGCACTATTGGAGATGAGGTCTATGCTTCTAGCAAGGGGAATTTAAACGTACCAGATAAATTAAAGTAAACAGTAACCCTGACAGTCTTCTCAAGGCCCATTTTAAAAATGTTCGCCCCCACACATGACTCGCCACACTACTGCAATGAGAGTGATCAGATTGCAAAAAATCAAAATCAGCACTTTGGGTAAGTGCTTTACCCTCTGCTCCTAGGGAAATGCACTTCAAAAGTTAAAGGCATTTTTGTACAATATCCATTTACTTATCTCAGCTTTGCATATTATATAAAGAGTTATACAAAGGGCTGCCCTCTCTGTTCCCTTTCAATGCACTCTAATCTCTTCACACGCCTTACTTAATCATCCTACATTACGAGAAGCAGTACCTTGCTGTTTGCAAGTTCATTTTAAAAGTTTCATTTTCAAAAATGACTCAAATAAATCAACATATCCACAAAAAAACTTGCTAATTAATGTTGAACGGATTCCGTGTAAAAGGAAAACGGCAATGAATCAGCCTGCGCCATCTCTTTCTGGGCTGTGATCTAGAGCCTGTAGTCCAGCGTCCTGGCTCTGCAGAAATCCCCACTCTCTGAGCAGCACTTCACGCTGGCCTGGAGGGGTAGAAAAGTACATTTGCTGCTCCTCCGAGTAGCTCTGGTCTGCCGGGATGATGTCCCGGTAGCTCCAGTCTCGCCAGTGGAAGTTGAATCTCTCCAGCAGTTCCACTCTGGATTCCTGGGAGGGAACACAGTCTGGGGGCGGTCTCTGCTGTAGCTCCACTCCTACCTCCAAGCCCGGGAACACAAGCAAAGCTCTAACGGCAAACCAGCCGCCAAGTCTGGGGTGAATACAGACCCCAAATATCTTCTGTGAGGAACACAAGAAAACAGTAAATCATCAGGCCATCCCAGGCAACGTAGGTCAAAAGGTAAGCGTATTTCCTAGATGGGATGCTAGTCCATCAGAGGGCACACACAAAGTTACATATAATAGGTAATTCAGAGATGACAATTCATCCTGCTTGAATGACTTTGGTAGGAAGGAACCCATACAACTCAGGGAGAACATGCAGATTCCACATACACACACACACAGTTAGAGTAGGTTTAGAACTTGCAACCCTGAAAGTACAAGGCTTCTAGAACTTCTATAACCTCCGTTAATGTCAGTAGCCCATCTGTGAAGAGGTTGGGGTTAATCTCTCCCATCTCCAAAGTACTGAGGCGTTCCATTCTTGGAGAAGACAGATACATGTTTTTATTTAACACTGCATGCTGTCTGTATTACTCCAACTGCTTTGTAAACCTCCAGCAGCCGGCCCTGACCTCATGAGACATTCACACCTACGGTGTTCATGGCAAGGTTAACAGCAAAGAAAGAGGGTGTGTCCCTCACCCTGTCCCCCCATGGGTCGGCGGTGACATCACTCCGCCGGTAGTAGTAAGCTGCCCCGGCCACGTGCACGGTGGTCTGCGCCAGGAATCGAGGCTTCCGGCTTGGGAGTATCTCATAGTCGTAATGGATGTCAACAGGGAGGTCTGCAAAACACTGAGAATGTAGAAAAGGGCAATGTGGTTACCATAGACACCTAAGCTAGCTTTGCTCACATAAGAATCATCACACATGTAATGATTTCATCTTTATAAATGTAACATTCATAGGGTAACAGATCTGAAACATGAAGAAAAATTCCATAGGACGGGGCTATTCAAATCACGGTCCTCAAGGTCCAGGCACTGCCGATTTTCCAGCCTTCCTTTACCTGTGAGCCAGGTGTGAAGCCTCTGGCCAATCAGAATCAGTAACTATTAAACTAACTACCTGGAAGAACTGAAAACAAGGCCTGGATTTGGAATCGAGGGCCAGATTTGAAGAGTTCTACTATAGGTTTACAATTTCTCCCACAGATTATTAGACCTGTTTAGAAACATGTACACTGTAAATATGATATAAACAACTTCTGACCTGTGTGTCTGGCATTACCTGTAACACGCAGCTTGAGATGCAGTGAGCCACACACTGGTCGATGGGGTCACGCACGCCCTTGTAGGCGTCCCTCTTAAGGAACGGCTTGAAGGCTTGGTCAAACATGTCCGGGGTGCTCAACACCACCACCGCAAGTGTGTCGTCAGAGTAGGGAAGGTGCAGGGATGCTGAGAGCAGCGCATTGTACCAGCCGATCTATCAACAAACCAAACAAAATATGTTAAGTTTACTTAATCCATGATTTCCATCTATCTATGCATCTGTCTTCTAGCTTGTCCTGGTCAGGGCTGCGGGATTTACGTTCTTTAAACCTTGTTTCTGGAACGCTTTTGCGGTTTTTATTCTGATAAACACACTTAAAAGCTATGAAAATTCCCTTTTCCCGAAACGGCCTTAGTTAAGACAAACATGATTTAAGGTGGGAAAACCAAATTGTTAAAAAATAAAGCTAAAATCACTAAAGGGGTAATAATTTGAGAAGCCGAACGTGTTCAGTTCGTTAAGGGCACCGATAACTAGGATATCTACGTAAATGTTAAACACCCATTTAAAACTGTATAAACTAAGCGCACTAAACCACAATAATAGATACAACATTTTGTCGCTAAACATTCAATTACATTATAAGTTACGAAAATGGCTATATAAAAGACTTAATATGAAAAAAGGCGTTTAAACAACATTTTGTAGAAACAAGCACCGCCGTGTCGTAGGTGCACTACCTTAAAAGGGTAAACCTCAAAACCCAGGGGTGTAAGGGAGTCATGCAGTTTCTTCTCCACCTCGTCGACAGTAACCTGGGACATCGCCATTGACTGCGGTACATGCCGGCTGACGCAACGCGCGCACTTCAACTCCCAGTACTCCCTGCGCGTCATGCGTCTTACGCACTGACGTTGGAACATCCGTTTGTCGGTTCCAGGATTTAAAAGTGATGCGGGATAGTGTAAGTATAGTATTGTATAGTGTATAGTTGTAAGTTTCCGTAGCTAGTCGAGATATTTCTAGTTATTTTTACAAATGGATAGAAATGGAATGTATTTCGTTTCCCCTACTTAACAGTATGTTAGTGCTTTTGCCTTTTTCTGGCATTTTTCGTGCGAAGAGGAACAATGTGGTGTCTGGTTCTGATATACTGATACTCATTTATAACACAAGACAAAACGGGGGTATCATAGCGAAACACAAAGTGGAAAAATAATTGTTTTATCCTAATTGATAATCGTAATTGCAAATAAAATTCGATTGCCCAGCTCTACAGTGTGGTGGTACCATGCATGGTTAATGCTGCGCTGCTTACCGTGTCCCTGCTGGTCCCATAATATTGCATTTCAGCTTAAGCCGATTTATATAGGAAAACGGAAGTTTGGCTTTGCCTGAACTACAGATAAGCAGCAAGGTTCCTGGTGGGTCCTGAGGGGGTAACTGAAATAAAGACGTACATACTTTAAAAACGAATGAGACTATGTAATCTATGGTCGGCTCACACTGGCAAGATGCTTAATATCGTCAAAGGCATTCAACTAAGGTTTTGGACTATTTGCTTCATAGCAAGGACGCAAGACATTATTCAGAGTATTGTAGCAGACAAACTGCTTAATTGCACTTCGAACATACAGTTTAAGGGATGGCCACTGTGCACATATTTACAACCAATAAGCTAGGAGTAGAACGATAGGGGTAGGTACACTAGGGTAGGAAACTGTCATAATGAATATCAGCTGAGCTCTGGCGGTGAAGGGATGGCACGTGGGGATAAGACTGACTGTATATGCAGATACACTGAGGTTACTGTGGACATTTCCTCTCTCCCATTGCTTAAATAAATATATTGTTTACATAGAAAATAACATCACCATTTTCCAGTTTGCATATAAGCCCATAACTACTGAATGTGCAGTTCATTATGTCAGATAGTACAGCATTATAATACAGGTGCAACATCCTGTTATCTGTTGACAGTGTCTAGCATACTGACAATAGTGTGAATTATGCTACTGTGTTAAAGTCAGTAAGCAGGATATTGATTATTTTTTGAACTGGACTGAAGTTACCCCTCTGTCATGACTGATCTGACTTAGCTGTGTCTTTCATAGTTGTATGTATATTATCATATTTTGTTATCATCTGCAGCCTGACTCTGTGTTGCAGGTTGACCCCTAAATGAACTGGGACACTCATTTCAGTTCCATCCTGTCAGCAGCAGATGGCAGTGTGGCCAAGATGCGGGTGAGAATTGGGTTTAACGTTTTATATCTATATTTGTTTTTATTGTTTGTCTTTTACGAACTATGTAAGGTGACCTTGGGTTTTAGAAAGGCGTCCACAAATAAAATGCATTATTATTATTGTTATTATTATTATTATATTGAACATAAAACAGCCTGTAATCTATTTACTACATTACAGAAGGGTCTCCAACCCCAGTCCTCAGGTGTTTGGTGCCGTGTAACTCTGTGCCTTGCTGGATCATGTGCTTCCATTGGTCTAGATTTGTAAACAAGCCGTGGAGGCCGTATGGAGAATGTCAACGGAGTGTGGAACCGGTCTAGTGGTTAAATACAATGGCAGAGACAAGGGTTATGGAAAATCCCCGCATCTTACCATGCACTTGGCCAAGGCTGGAGGTGCCTTCCGTGTCTTCTGAGCGTGTCGTATTTCCTACCCATTGGTGCTCTTTTGTCTCTGCAGGAGCGCCTGACCGCATCAGCAAAGGCTGCAGAAGGTGTGTGGGATTCTTGTGGGTAACAACTTTTCTTTAACAAATGATCGACGTTTCAAGGTTTCAATGGACCAGCTGGACCTTGAAATGAGCCTAAGGGTGTAGATAACAGTCTGCTTTTGTTATGGCGCTCAGCTCTTAGACTGATGTGTAACTATAGCGACAGTGGGAGCTTCTTGACAAGGAAGGGGGTGACCAGATGCTCTGTCGATCTCAACATGATGGCTCCTTCTTCTCATCCATTTGCTGCTTCACCACAGTTGTGTTCCAACCAAGTGATGCATTCCAAGGCATCAATTTGGGGGCCCCGTATCTGTCACGAGCCCCCCCTGCTGCCGGTCCAGAGGTACAGTGGGGTGACATTGCTGCTATTCATGCCCAGCTTCATAGCCAGAGCCAGGTGAGGTTGTGTCCCTCAGACCAGATGCTGTTCCTCAAAAATTCATCACCATCCATTGGGTAAATGGTATTGCCACTTCTGATCTCAGTGTTACTACATTATCAGGCCATCGAGTCCCTTACGCAGGCCCTGCGTTCCATGGAACGGGAGCGTGACTCCCAGCAGCGCCAACTGCAGGCTCTCCAGGGTAATGACCTTCATATTTCTACACCTGAAAAACACCTCAGATACAGTAAAATGCCTCAGTAACCAGTTTATGACAGGATGCTGTTTGCTTAGCTGTAAATTTCAGTTAAATAATAATACATTTGTGAGCCTAATGCATAAGTGAAGTGAGCGTGGTTTCTTTATTTATAATATATGTAATGGCTGGTTTATTGGAGGAATCACAGCAAGGTTGTCATACTGAAAGGCTTTTACAATAGGCACAGGAGACACGTTTTCCCACGCATTATGTATGCATTTAATTGTCTGGGTCCTTGTACCCTGCTTCATTGATGATAAAGTTGAATCTAATCTAATGTTTATTATTTGTGATTTAAAGTGAGTTTAACAGCGTCTATACATTAGCCCAACGGGAAGCATTGTTCCCACAATGCTCTGTGATGCACCGACCAACGAGAAGTCGCCTTTGAAGTTCTCATTCTTGACGTGTTCCAAAGCCCACAGTCTAAGCTTTTGATCTTTTAACAGCAGTGTTCCACTCTCTTTCGCATATTGCATCAGAGACAGTTAGATTGTGACTAATTGCGAGCGCAGATCCCCGCGTGCTGCAGCCTGCCGGGCCTGACAGTTTTATGGTCTTGATGCCTCTTGCCGTAAAGCCTCTTGCCGTGGGAGAGGGGGGATTTTTTAGAGCAAAGAGCTCTAAGGCAGATGTCATGCGGCTGATGCTGAGCACTAACGACTCTTTCCAGAGGAGCTACAGAAATTGCGTGAGCGTGGGGAGGAGAGGGTTTGGCCCGGGCTGGGAGCGGAGCAGTGGAAAAGGGAGGTGGGCAGGGAGCTGAGCAGCTTGAGAGGGCGGATCGATATGGCAGCATCGCTCAGCGGTCAGGAGGAGAGGTAAGGGCTTCCTGACCCACGCTGGCCTTACAGTTACGCTTGTGCACTTCAGGTCTTGAACAGAACACACTAATTCCAATGGGTTAGGATGCCATGCCCATGATCAGAAGGTTGTCAGTTTAAATCCCAGTGACAGCAGAGTAAATGTCACCATTGGGCCTTTGTGCCAGACCCTTAAGTCCAATTGCTCCAGGGACTAGAGTCTCTGCTTTCTCAATTGTACGTTGCTTTGGATATAAAGTGTCTGCTAAATAAAGACATGTATGTATAAACTCTTCAACACTCAAAATACCAAGTTAGATAAGTTTTATTAAGCAGTTAGTAGCTGAGTTACACCAAGAACCACCATATCCCATGATGTTGGGGTCAGTGATTTAGAAGATCTACCCATAGCAAGGTAACCACTTTACCAGCAACATTCAGAGGAGTGCCATCTGTCGTCATGCAAATCGCTCGAGATGGCATTGCCAAGGCAATTTGTGAGCGATGGCACATCACAGGGCATTAGCCAATTTGGGGGAGGTGGCGGTGGGGGGGGGGGCAAGGAGAAGACGAATGGGCTGAAATAGTATCCCTTCAGCCTCTGTCGCCTTCTGGTGTGACTGGGTTGCATTTACAGCTTCAGTTCCAGACGGCAGAGGGAGGAGATGGAACGGCTGCGGAGGGAGGTGGACCAGCTCAAACAACAGCTAAGTGAGTCTTGTTTCTCGAGGCAGAACAGGCCAAACAATATGTGGGGATGTGGAAATGATCTTGGCGTAATATTTATTCCGTTTTAAACTTATTTTTCTCTGAGTCAGATAATGAAATCATTTTGTTCATGACAAAAGAGTTCAAAATATGGGTAATGAAATCTAGTTCCATCCATCCTTCCATCCATATTCTAACAATTTATTGCAGCAGCGATATCAGAGTTACTCATTTTGCACATCAGAAAAGTGAGCAAATCTGTTGAGGCTTAGCCTACAGGTAAATACAGGTAAGTTGCTAGATTCTGTAAAATTATCTTGTCACTCAGGTGTTTGATTTATATCAAAATATGTGTCATAGAAGCAGACATGAAAGCAGTTGTAGCTACAAGCCCAAAAAACTGCAATTCTCACGAGATACCCAGCCCACTCAGGACTGTTCTTTATTCCTGGGAGGCTCCTGGCATATTTGCAGGCTTCCCAAGGTAGGATAGATTATAAAGCGCTCCTTTTCAGCTCATGGAGTTCACGTGTCATCCTGCGGGGGGTATTTTCGTCAGATTCTGAGCCCATTTCCTCGTTTCGTATTTCAGTTCTTCAATATCAATAGCTTGACTTCAGTGGCCAGACAGCCCTTTTACCGAGACACAGCTTTCTGCCTGTCCGTCCTTTGTGCTGATATTTTTCCTTTTTTTTTTTTTTAAAAAAATCACTTTTGATCTGTCTCCTCAGGGACAAATTGTGGACTGCACCCTATTCGCTGCCTTTAAAGGTGTAGGAATGGGCAAATTAACCCCAGATGGAGTACATATGCTTTTGTGTTTTTTAATGACACTGTTCTCTCTGTCATGTGAAGACCGTAAGGCTCACAAATTCAGTCTGAGGACACAGGTGGGCTTTCCTTAGTTTTCTGTTTTTAAACATTCCTTTTGAAATACATCAGTCTCACTGAAACTGCACACAGGGCTCGCACAGGTCTTTACATGTGTAACCAAACGGGGATGGGCTGAGAGGTGGGGCTTGGGTAATTAAGCTCATGCTTCATGGTTAATTAGGCCTCCACACATCCCCGCTGAATCCCCGGCGGCTCTGTTTGGACCCAACCGCTTTCCGTAGCTGAGGCCAGACTGGGTCACTTCTCATTCATGGATGTGTGCATCTGCAGGGAGGCAGGAGCAGGATCTGTCTGACCAGCAGGCCGAGAGCCGGGGTGCGAGGAGGCATTACGAGCGCAACTGCAAGGTGCGAGTGTCCCTGAGTAGCGTGAGGGAGACAGTGACGCTGTTAGACACTTGCAGACCGTGACCATCTTCCCCGTCACATCCAGACCCTGGAGAGTCTGGCGGACAACTACAGGTCACACACCTTGGACCTCACCAGGACCGTGTCCGAGTACCAGGATGTGCATCAGGATGTTCAGCAGCTCAAGTCAGTGCTCCGCCGAAAGCTATGGAGGAAGATGGGTACAAGGGGCATGTTTGTAAAACTAGCAGGCTGCTCCTCTGCCTCTACTCAGCAGCATTTTACAATTTTATCTAATTCAGGTAGTCATCTAGTGTCATGCACCAACTGAACTGACAAAAAAACTACAGGCAGGTGGAGGGTTTTTACCAGATCACTGCCCCCTACTGACAGATTATGTAAACTGCAGGCTGTTGTTGCCCTGCTCCAGCATAACAAAGCATGGACTAGGGAGAGAATAAGGAAATGGGAGTCTGCCATTACTGATGAAGCTGAAACGGGAAACGATTGTTGAAAAACTGGTACGGTGGTGTGTAATCCTGCCAATGCTGTCCTATTGTTTGGGGACACTGCTGAGCTGGGCCAGGTCAAATGGGTATATTTCATACTCTGTTGATGTGGTTTTTAAACTGGGAAAAAGGAAATGGGTAGATGTCTGTTTACTTTGTGCCTGGGACCTGGATGGGAAGTTAAGGGACTGAGACTGTCCTAATGAGCTGCAGTAACCTCCTCTGTCAGTTACATGGGCAAAATCCTTGCAGATGGTGAAGGACTGTCATTCCCCGCAGTGGGTCAGTCACCCATGTATCCTGCAGGTTATCTGTTTCGGAGCTGAGGGTTTGGATCCTGGAGGAAGGCCGTGACCCCCCCACGTGGACGGCACGCAGAGCAGGTGGGGCGTGGCTGTCCGGTCGTGGTTATAGCATTGGTGCTTTTTAATGTAGCCAGTGTTCAGAATGCTAACCTCCCCCGTAACGTCTTTTCCAGACCAGAAATTGGCAGGAAGGCCTCCCAGCGGGCACAGGGAAAGATCGGCGTTAGATTCAGAGGAGGAGTCCAGCCCCACGCCCAGCCTGGGAGACGTGAGCTCAGACGAGCTGTCCTGGTCCGAGGACCAGGAGACAAGTGAGGCGCGATGCTCCAGGGGCATTTCTGCTGCCTCTTATCTTTTCAGCAGCTCCAGTCAAGGGTCAGGGTTCACTGGTCACATACCCAGACGTACACAGTACATTGGTGGAGAGAGATTATTTTTCTACCTCCAGGATTGTGTTCAAAATATGTATTACAAAAAAATAGTATAAAAAGATAAGAAATAAGATTAAAATAGCTATTGACATCAAATACAGAAATAAGACAATAAAAAGAAATGTATCTGTAATTGTGTTTACATGAGGCAGTGATCAAGATGATGTAAAGTGACAAGGGTTTGTGTGTGCGGTGGGGGGGGGGGGCGCATGGGGGATTAATTACTGAAGCCTGATTGATTTTTAAAGGGTTTTTTGTGGTGGTTTGGAAATGTTCATGTTCTGAGTGACTAATCAGAGATCAAAAGTGTCTTAAAAGCTGCCAAACCAAATGTTTTAGCAGCCACTCTTACAGTAATGTCCCACCCATCTTCTCCTCCATCTGCCCTGAAACAGGGACTGTCTATCGCGCCCACTTTATAGAACAGACCTGAACATGTCTCTCAACTGTTTGGATAAACTGGCACAAAAGAGGCCCCCCCCCCCTCTCCACTTTGAAGTTTCTCTGAATACATGCGTGGGAGTCGTGTGCAGCTGTTAAACAGGTGGTGTGGTGTCTGTAGGCCACGGGGGAGATGGGGGGTGTTGGGGGCAGACACATCAGTGACAGAGGGCTGGATGGGTGCAGACCCGACTGAAAAGAGGCCCACAGGCAACAACGACCCGTAAAAACCCATAAACAGGCAGCAGTGAAGATACATACACAGCTGGGTCAGTTGGCAGGCTGTCAACGCCTCCTTTGATCACATGACAGGCTGGTAGGACAATAAACATGACACCCCTTGTGACGACCTCCTTAAATTCAGCTCCAAAGGGCAGCATGTGAAACCCCGTCTCTATTCATTTAGCTTGTACCACTGTCCCAAGGAGGTTTATTTGTAAACAGTCGTTGCATTTCCGTCAGCGATTCAGTCTGGCAGCAGCATGCAGTAGATACTGTTACCTGCAAAGAGCACATGCTGGATATAAATCACAGCTGACCTTTCTCCTGTGTTCCCAGCACCCCGCCGGAAACACCCTGGCAGTTTCCCGCTGTTGGAAAGCCAAAGCTCTGAAACAGGAAGTGGCCCAGAGGAACCACCTGCAAGGAGTGACGAGCTGGAGGAGGAGCTGCTGTCAGAGCTCAGCGTCAGTGACCTCTGACACGGACCACCAGCAGACATTTACAATTTTGCAATGTTTAGAAAATTATTCCAGGATGCTTTGAGCGTCTGGGCGGTGGGAGTGTAGGTGGCAGGGTGTATGAACAGGGTGTATGAACAGGGTGTATGAACAGGGTGTATGAACAGGGTGTATGAACAGGGTGTATGAACAGGGTGTATCCCAGGCTACTTCAGTCAAATCTCTTTCCAGTTAAAGCATCCTGGTGACATGATAGAAGTTAGGCGCGGTGAGAACCAGACCTTCAGCCGACTCTGAGTGATCACTCACCCTCCTTATCTTTGTAGCTGTCAGTCGTGATTGACAGTAGCACACCTCCGAGATGGAGGTATGTGTTAGTCAGAAGTGAGATGGGGCAATCTCTTCGGGGGCACTCCCCCCCCCCCCCCCCATTAGCTACAATGACCCATTTTTTCAAATGTTTCCATCACATAAAGAAATCAAACTGAAAATGTTGGCTTTAAAATGTTTTATTAAAAAACAAAATACACTCAGAACACACTCACACTTTAGGCACATTGCAGGAACCGTAACAGAACGGAACCAGTTTTGGTGCATGACATATTTACATTTTGGTTGTCCATGATCCCTAGCTTCTATGCATGAAATGAATCTTTATTGCTGCAGAAACACATATAGATAAAGCAGCAGGATTTCTGTAACTTCTCTCCATACCTGAACAGAGCATATGGCTTTTGTCTAGTGGCCTTCAAAGGAGGTCTCACCACTCAATGTTGAGCAAACCGTCATTTCACTTCTAACCAAAACTGTTCTTAATTTAACAACCACACAGCACACGGTTTTGAAGGACGACCGGCTCACCATGTTGACCTGGATACTGAGAACCCAGGAGCCTTCAAGCTGTTCCCAACAGAGAGATGGATCACATTAGGAAACAGAGGCTTGCTTTTACATTTAACTGGTAATTATGGTCCATTTCATGCATTACTCTCCTTTAAACTTGACGGGAGGAACTACAGGCAAACAACGAGGCATCGGGAAAATGCTGAGATGTTATATTGGCTTCCCTTGGGGAACAGACACGTTTTGGTTTTTTAGAGAGCTTTGGGTAGCTGCATCAGCTAAGAGAAACTAATTACTTCCATAGCAAAGTGGCTGATGGGTTGAAAGTCAAGGAACGAGGATCTGTTTAGGTATTCCTGCCTGGGATGGGAGATGTGATCATCACATCACCATCCCATCCGGGCCTAAAGAAGTCAAGATTTGGTCAAGGAACACAATGTTAGATTGTTAACACACTCAAGCTGGGAGAGGATTCTGTAAAAATCCCCTTTTAAAAACTAAAAACGCTATACTAACATCACATGAAGAAATGCTAGATACAGCTGGGGAAGCACTCAAACAACTCTACTTTCCCCAAGGACAACATTAAGAAGTCACCAAACACCAACAGCAGAAAGCAACCTTGACAGAAGCCATGTTCATACAAACACACAGTTTGGTTGAAGAACAATTAAAGAAACCAGTGTCTCCATCACACATATGCAAATGAAACATTTGACTCAAAACACAACCTCTTATCTATCCAGCAAGCCAATTGCTAAGGCACTGAAACAGTGTGATGGGACTTTCACCCATTTGCACTAAACCACACAAACAGTCGACAGCACCAGCCGAAAGTTGCAGACACCTGAAAACATATCTGAACAGCCAGCCTGGAAAATATGCCGTGTCTGATGTCTCACAATCACTAACCAGCTGAGAATCAGCCCAGGGAGAGGCGGGAGTCATAACCGAAAGAGCATCACTGCCGTCGATCAAAGTCACCAGCTTTGGCAGCACGAAAGCAGCACGAAAGCACTGTGCAATACTCAGAGGCCTACGGGAAGAGCCTGGTACCATAAGAGCATGATATCTGATGGTGCCATCTTCCATTCATATCAGGGAAGGGACCAGTAGTGCAGAATATTCTCCAGAGACAGAAAAAAGACAACAGAACCAGCTATGACCCAAAATCCACTGTTCATGTCCATCAGTGACTTCCTGTCAACCTCATCTTTGGCGGGGGGGGGAGCAGCCCACAGGCCCAGCATGTAGAAATCCAAGAATTACAATCAAACTGAAATAAGGCTCTTAATTCAGTCTACAAACTTCCCCAGGGGGCGAGGGCAGCCTCTGGTACCCTGCTGGGGTGAACAGGTAGCGGAGATGGAGTAGCACTTTAGCAGGGAACTGGCGAGGAACAGCGAGTAGGAATGAGCTTGCTGAGGGGTGGGGCCATTCTCAGTAGCTGTACATGGAGAGGGGCGCATCCTCCATCATGTCGTCCTGTGTGGGCAGACATGCTCGTCAAGCTCGTCAAGCTCATCAGCAGGGCAAACGAGACCCCCAGATACCTCAAGAGCTCACCATGGGTAGATCCTGCAGCCGGCGGAATTCCGGCTGGTTATTCCTCCGTCGGAATTTCAGGAACAGGAGTAGCGTGATGACGGCTGCCGTCAGGATGAACACAGACACCAGGCCGGCCAGCAGCGGGTCCAAGCGTGGCTCCGAGCCATGCGGGTCCTCCCCTGTGGGGGACACATCATGAGGTCAGACCCTGCCTACAACATGCTGCTGAGCTGTAAGTGTGTTCAGCCGACCAGCTGTTACGACGGGAACAGTGCAGCGAGCACTGCTGAGACTTGCTGAGACTTGCTGAGACTGGAACAGCCATGCTCTCTGTCTCCTTGGCATACTGAAGCACCACCCCCGAGTCCAAGGGGAACCGGTACAGACGGCCTTGCGGCTTCTGGTCGGAAATAAACTGGAACTGCACCCCCCACCCCGGCGATTTTCTGGGAAGCCAGTCCATTTATATTTTACATAAATACCTATACAAACAATGCTCAATTAATGGGGAAGTTGTGTTCCAGGAGCTCATACATATTTCATTCTTTGCATATGTTGCATACCATTATTTCCTCATAAGCAGCAGAACTGATTTGATACACACACTCATTTAAAGGAAACATACTTGAGGATATATGATGATGTTATAACTTGCGTAATATGAGAAGAAACCAGGTGTGTGTGCATGAGATCTTCCTAAATGCTAACATGCGCCCCCCCCCACCCTGAAGTCCCTGGCCCATGGAGACCCCAATGGCAGACGCTCACCGACATCCATCCTGTTGAGCTGCGAGAGTTTGTCCTGAGGTAGCTGGGTTTTGGTGGAGAGACCGGGGGGGGGCTCGCTGGACCTCGGGGTGGGCTGAGGAGCCGAGGCGGGGTGGGGGCCTGTCGTGTTAGTGGGGGCAGCACTGCTCAGGTGTGTGGAGACAAGGAGCGGGCCCACTGTTGGGTGGACCCCCCTAGCGAGGGAGGTGTTTGTTGGTGTAGAGGAGGGGAGCACTGAGTAAGAGGGAGGTCAGCACAGTGGAAATATATAAGCATTTAAACCGTACAGATGTACAGAAGTCTACGATAAAATATAGTTATCCTTAAAGTTACCGAAATGCACTGAACGTATGCCAAGTTATGCTGCAGACTATCCTTTTATCGTGGTTAAAAATTGTATTATTTTGCATCCATAGTTTCTACACAATGTATCATTCTGGTTAAAATTAAGCATTTCTAGTTGTATGCAAAAGCAACACTGAAAATAAAGTACAAAGTGTAAGAAGTATAGAGATTTTAAAAGCAAAATATTTCTCATTACGTCACAGTTAAACACACGCACACAAAGTATGGCATTAAAAACAAACTCCAGCCGTTAAACCAGCTAAAGACATTGAGTGAAACTCACAGGACTGCAAATTATCCTGGAGAGCAGAGAGGCGTATAAAAGGAGCCGCAATTTCCGCCAAAATCCAAAAGTTCTGCTACCTGCAGAAGCCAGCTGTTAAGGGGCAAAAAAACTGGAGTCTCTGGTTTTCACTTGCTTTTAGTTGCTGCGTTTCTGTACCTATTCCTGTCAGACCATGGGTTACACTGCACTTCTAGCCGGGGGCCACATGTGGAGCTGTGTGCGTGTGTGATTTTTTTGGGGGTGAGCTAGATTTGTGAAAACAGAATCTCTGTGCCATATCACAATGGACCAGTTTCATGTGTGAAAGGTACACTGTTTAACTCCACGCAAACGGCCGCGGTCCACAAACCCTCCCACGCTGTTGCCGTCTGTGTCATGTCATCGCGCCACGTGCCAATGCGACCCTCAGACACGCCTCTAGCTGCTAGTCTCCCTCAATAACAGCACAGAGAGCAGCTTCCCACAGCACCCTGCACTATTCCATTGTCATGCCGCTTCATCCCCCCTTAAGTACGGCCAAGTAAAAATAACCCAGAGTTCCCAGCTTGGCATGGCAGCGTACCCAGGGTGTAACTCTTCTGTCCCTTCCTGGAATCTCCTTCTCGGCCTTATGTGGACTGGGTGAGCCCAGTGTCAGCGTGCCGCATGCTAAGAATAGCCTCGCCTTGTTTTTTAGATAAATGACGGATTTGTTTGTGAGTCCCGTGAGCAAATCTGGCTACGAAGCCCAGGCTACAAGCACCGCCTTCATCTCGAGGTTGCTGGCGCTCTTTTATCCTCTGAATTGTGCAGATTGCCTTTCTCTGGACTTTACTGTAGGTTTATTTACTGTAAACCTGCTCCAACGAAGTTTACCTAGGAATGACCATGATTTCTCTTTGCTGTGAGACAATTGTCGACATGTGGGGTCTCCCTCAGACTGAACAGTGAGGTTCCAGGTAAAAATGAAGACAAATCATTTCACAAATACAGGGACGAATTTACCTGAAGAGTGAGAGGCGGAGGTCGCAGTGTGGGTCACATTGTACTGCAGGGTGCTGTTCGGGGCACTTATAGGAGACCTACTGGTACTGCTGCTGTCACTGTCATTCATGATGGGACCGCTGGAGGCAGAAGGGCTATCACCACAGGGGGCGCTGTTATTACTGATGGCACCATTTGGGGCAGGGAGGCCAGCACCACTGGAGTCACTGTCATTACTGAAAGGACCACTGGACACTGGAACCCCACCACCACTAGGGGCGCTGTTATTACCGATGTGACTGCCTGAAGCAAGGAAGCCAGCATCACCGGAGTCACTGTCATTACTGACAGCACCACCAGACACTGGAACCTCACCACTGGGGGCGCTGTTATTCCTGATAGCACTGTCGGAGGGTGGGAGGTCTTCACCGGCAGCGCTGCTGTTCGAAAGGCTGAAGTTCTGATTCAGCCTCACGGTGGGTTGTGGCGCTGTGGTCCCTGTCACCGGAAGGGAAGTTGAAAGGGGGGGTTGTGAGACAGGGGCTGGAGAGGGGGGGCAAAAAACACAAGCATTCGTATACGAATTTGGAATCTTACACAAAACGAGTGTAAGCTGCACAGACGGATGTTCCGTAATACAAATAAAGGTGAAAAAAATGGACATCATTTATGAAGGACCGTCTGTGAGAAGCAGACGCTCTGCCCTGGTGTCATGCGGGGGAGAGAAAAACACCACAAACCAGGAGCCTCCGTGTAGTTTCGGCCTTGGTCGCAAAAGGATAGTCAAGGAAACGTTGAATAAACAGTCCGGTCGTTATTTATGGGTCCTGGCTAATGGCCCAGTGAGCACGCAGGAGATGTAAGGAGAGTCAAAGGTGTGTCACTGGTATAGTGCCACCCTCAGGGGAAGGCTGGCTTAACTGGGCTGATAGTGGGCAGGGTCTACATACATTTATGTTGGGGTGGGGGGGATCGTTCCTTGATAAACATTTTGACCTTTTCACATTAATGCTTCTGTGGTTTTCCAGGCATTGTTCACAGAATCCCCCTGAACAGCCTGGGAGGAAATGGCTTCTCTCCAAAGCCGCCGTTCTCTGGTACTTCAGCTCGCCGAGGGCCCATTTCACCCAGCGCCTGCCCAGCCCTCCTAACTGGGACCTCTTCATGGATAGCAGAGATTGGGCATTTTTGGATCACAAATTGGCAACTTTGATGGAAGCCAGGCCACATGGCAAACAGCATTAGCTCTGCATTGGTGACAGTGTCCGATTCACTCAGCCCTAATTGTCCAGGAACACAGGCCCAGTCACAGGGCGGCGCCACATGAGCAACCCGGCCAGCTCCCCCACAGAGAGCACACAGTCATGCTTCCGTTTCCAATGAACCGAAGTGCTGTTGCCGCATCCCCAGGTAGGGTGGCTCTCCGGAGACAGAAAGTGAACAGAACTGACATTTTTTTCCTTCTCAAGCTGTGGTGTTTTTCACAATAACAGAGCTACATTTGCTTTGAGATGTTTCTAAAACGTATTCTTAATATTCAGAGCTGATTTGTGTAAGGAATAAGTAACTATGGATGCATATATGAGG